ATGTGCTCCCGGTGTTTCTCAAGAAATGCATTTGGATTGTTTGGTTTGTCCAAATCTTCGAAAAATTCATTTGGAAGTCTGATTGGACCGCCGTACAACATATCTGATGTTGATGCTCCTAGATCTTCTTTCGTAGCATGTTCGTAGTCCAAGTAGAACAGTCGGTAACAAATCTGGCCACGACGTCGCAGGGTCACACATCAGTGCAGATTTGAATGAGCGATGCCAGCGCTCTACCATCCCATTCGACTGGGGATGATAGGCAGTTGTACGAATGTGTCGACAGCCGATCATCTTTACGAGGGCTTCGAAAAGAGCCGACTCAAATTGAGTCCCCTGATCTGTCGTTATCGTCTTAGGACAGCCGAATCTGGAAACCCAATTTGCCCAAAACGCATTGATGACTGTGGTTGCAGATATGTCCTGAAGTGGAATGGCTTCCGGCCATCGAGAAAACCTGTCGATCATGGTCAAGCAATAGCGGTAGCTATTAACTTGTGGCATGACCACAATATCTAGATGGACATGATCGAATCTATTATCTGGCATGTCGATTCTCTCTGGAACGAAAGAGTTGTGTCGATGTATTTTGGCCCGTTGGCAAGGCAAACAGGATCTCGCCCAAAGCGTGACGTCTTTACGCATCGAAGGCCAAATATACTTTTGTCGTAGTTGTTGTAGTGTAGCTCTACCACTGGGATGTGACAAAGTGTGTACCGATGCAAATACTTGGTATCGAAGCTCTTCGGGTATATACGGACGCACATGTCCAGTAGATACATCGCAGTAAATGCTTTTGTCCTCGAGATGTATTACTTGCAGCTTGAGTGATGTACTTCCCTGCAGAAGTGTAGGTAACTCGCTGTCCTTTGATTGAGCTTCAGCAAGTGTTGCATAGTTTACGCTGGAGGGCATCGATATGGCGTTAATACGTGACAGAGCGTCTGCCACGGTGTTGGTGTTTCCAGCTATGTGCATAATCGCGGTGGAGAATTGCGAGATAAAATCTAAATGCCGCAACTGGCGCGGAGATGCTTTCTCTGGCTTCTGGGAAAAAGCGTGTATGAGTGGCTTATGGTCTGTTTTGATGACGAAAACACGAGCCTCCAACATGTGTTTGAAATAGCGTATAGAATCGTAGATAGCTAACAGCTCACGATCATATGTGCTGTAGTTCTTCTCAGCGTTGTTTAGTTTTCGTGAGTAAAACCCCAAGGGCTGCCATGTGTCGTTGTAAAATTGCTCTAATGCTGCGCCGATTGCTGCGTCGGACGCGTCACACACCAATGCTAACTTGGCTTCAGGGGCCGGATGTGCAAGCATTGTAGCATTAGCTAAGCTGCGTTTGCAATCCTCAAATACCTTAAGTGTCTCGGAGGACCAGTTTACTTTGCGTCTGTCATTTTTTCGCATGCCGCGCGTGTATTCATTCAGCCGAGATTGTAGTTCCGAAGCATGAGGAATGCATCTTCGGTAATAATTTATAAAACCAAGGAACCGACTGAGTTCGCAGACTGTGTCTGGTGGCTTAAAAGTTTTGATAGCTTCTATGCGTTCGGTGGGCGGACGTAGTCCATCGCTGTTGATGACGTAACCCAGAAATACCACCTCGTGTTTGCCGAAGTGACACTTGTTGGCGTTGATAGTCAAGCCATGTTGCTGCAGAACTGAAAACACTTCACGAAGATGCTCTTCGTGTTCGTTTGCCGAGTTCGACATGACGAGAATGTCGTCTATGTATATATAAACAAAGTCGATATCTTTGAATATGCTGTCCATGAACCGCTGGAAAGTCTGCGTTGCGTTCTTTAAACCAAACGGCATGCGAACGAATTCAAACAATCCGAATGGTGTACAAACAGCAGTTTTTTCGATGTCGGGCTTAGCCATCGGGATGTGGTAGTATGCACGGACCAAATCGATTGTAGAAAAGATTCGTTTACCATGCAGTTTTTCCGAAAAA